AGAGACAACAACTTAAATGGAGCATGCTGGGAAATTTCTTGAGCATGTGGCACCGAGTCTGTGATGTAAAAGTTTTCAAAAGGCACTTCRCAGTTCGTGAATTGCATCCAAGACTGCTTGGGAAAGACAGGGTGGGTTACGTAAGCACTTATCTTTAGCGCTCCTGCCGCACGTAATGCCTAAAACAAAATGAATATCTTAAAATAGGGGCGTATCCTGAGTTTTCATTGGGGGGTCCTTACATACCAAATTATCACTATGACGTCATATGACGTCTATGTGATATCATATCAATCTATGGTTTTCGCGCTTTTTGGCTTTGAAAGAGGGGTCACGGGCCGACTTTCGTGATCCGTGTTCTCAGTTGTGAAGCGTTCTCTATGGCAAGTGWAGACAAGGCTCAGAAAAAGGTTTGGAATATTTCTTTAAAAAGTAAACATATTAATAAATTGTATAAAAATTGGCGAAAATTGACTGAGAAGTACAAGTTCAGGAGCATGACATGGCATGGCGCGCAACGTGCTTGATATGGACATCCAACAGTTATAAACATTGACATTTACATTTTCAGCCATTTCAAGAAAAGCACTCCAAATATGAGTCTACATGTACATMCTCTTTATAAATGTCTCCCAAATTAAAACCTAATGAAAGCTGGCCAGAACACAAAACGAGCAAAACCAATCGTCACTGGTTTGACGCAAATGACAACAACTCGATTTATCAGACATGCGAATCCCATGAAACCAACTAAATCCAGTAGTCTCGTTTTTAGTGCTGCGCAAAATTGCTGCAAGTCCAGGTTTGCAGGTTTGTGGCTCGGGATACTTTCCATCAAAATTAATATAACAAAAGCAGCGGATTGTATTAATATCAAAATACTTTGTTGAGCTGCATCCAGGTAAAATCTCCTTCAGCTGATTAGCGTTGCACAAAACGTCAAGGTTTTAAATAGATGTGGAAAACATGGCGAGGGCAATGTAATTTAAGTCGCTGGAACGTTTTCTAAAGCATACATACTGTATGATAGAACCCATAACCATACCTTAGCGCATTGTATTAGTGTCCCACCAGTCATGACCAAATCATCCGCAATAATCACATGTTGACCTTTAGGCTCACCTGAAAAGGTTTTTTTTTTTCAATTGCTTTATCAAGGTCTTGATTTGAGAAAACTAAAATCATAATATAAAAATACCTTCTTTAACTTTGACAATTCTCTTGTCGCCGTCACGTATCTTGATACAAGTAATCTTGGGAAAAGCTTGAAACATGGACTGAAACCTCTTAAATGCACCTTCATCAGGGAATGCTATGCTTAAGCTTTCTCCTTTCAGGGACTTTAGTTCTCTCTGAAGAAGAGGTATTGCAGATTCCAGTCTGTGTGCAATCGAAAAGAACAGCTGAGTGCACAACTACATTGGTGAAAAATATGCGTGCAGTAATACGAGCAAAATTCAGCTGAGTGAACAACTACATTGGTGAAAAATATGCCTGCAGTAATACGAGCAAAATTCCTCCAATTGTCTTAAAACATTGAGCCAAAACAAGTGAAGCTGTGAAGCAGCTAGTTTTTCCACCCGAGATTGAACTTGTGGCAAAAATGTAACTAAACGTCATCTTTCTGTACAAACATTGGAACATTTAACATTGTAATACAAGCAACATCAGAAAGCTTTGGTTGCAAAAAGTAGAGTCCAGACTGYTTTGTGCAGAACAAACTTTTTCAACATGCAACACAAACTTTTATTGTTCACTAATGTCAACATTAGCGTCACTCTCACCTGTGATTACTGTATTTATGAATTAGATAAAACACCAGTACTTAAACATACCTTGGTATTACATTGTCACCAAAATAGAATCTCTCCTGTAGGCAATGGATATCAAATATTACAATCTGAGATGGACCTCTCGCTGTCAGTGGGATAGCTGATAGTAGTGTGGCTAGTGTCTATAGACCAAAATAAGGAAAGAATATAAGTACTAGTATTTCCCAACTTTTTGTTTAYTGAACATCATGATCCCACTGGACAGTCACACAGGCAGAGACTTTCATTTCTAAATTACCTTTGCAGTTGCGATTTGACCTTCAGAGTCCTCTCTCTCCATTGTACCAGTGGGAAAATATGGAAGAATAAAAGTGAAAGAACGAGCAAGAGATCTGAAAATCAAATTTAAAAAAGTATAAACTCATACAAATGATATGAACTGCTGAACAACTGGACATGCTGACTCAAAGATTTATTCACTGTTAAAAATATACTCTGTTAGAACTAATGCAGTTAAAGCATGAAATAAAAACAATGACTACCGTATAATTGTTGGTATTACTATAACTAGAACACTTCAGAACAAAAAAGGTAAAGCAAAAACCACTCAAGGTTGAGRGATATGAACTAATAACTTGTTGACACACTACTCTCTGTCTACTTATTATTTTATTTCATGGTTTTAAAACTGCTTTTGCTCTGAGGTGGGATGCTCAAAAGAAATTTTCAAAAAGACCCCTAAAAAATCCCCGGATGTCTTGAAAAAAGGCTGTGTGGCTGACTGATTTTTATCAGTTCCAATGCTAAAATGTATAAAATATTTTAAGACTCGAATTCATTATATCAAAAAAATTTGCAAATTTCCAGAAACTCCAAATTGGCACCCTAAAATAGGGAACCCCATGGCCTGGGTGTGGAAGCAGCTTTGTACAACTAATGCCAAGTGATATAAGTGTTAATATTAGTGATGATGAATGTTTTGCACCTTGGAATTTTATAAAGTAAAGAGAGCTGCTCAAACACAAYTTCTGGTGAATGAAAACTGCCCAAGAAAATAACTGCAAGAAGAGTACAAAACATACATTCAAAATGAGGTTAAATGATATAGGTATGCCAAAAAAATGGTATAAATAATCATGGAATGACACGAATAATGTGTGCACAGGTTATGTTAATTATTATCTAATTGAAGTTGTAAATGTTACTCATCCCAGTTCTTTAAATTATGTACTTGCCATCACCTTCCACAGAGGACATAGCTGTCAACCCCCCGACTTTTCAATTCCTGTGGTGAACTATGTAAGTATGTGACATAATGGCACAAAGAGGGGGCTGCATGGACAGGAGTAACATACTTATAAGTATAAAATCATTAATTTCAAAAAATAGCTTTTTCATTATAGGCGGTCATATCTTGGGTACGTCTTACATTAACACATACCATATTTTTACAAGTTTGACGATTATCTGGGAGATTTCAACCTTGATCCAGGAGAACAAGAGACAAGGTTCAAATTCTGGAGACTTCCAGATAATCCGGGAGG